ATCAACTGGAATGATGCGTGATTGAAATTAAATCATTTTTTATAAAGTTACTGATGTCCTGCCTGGTGCAGCCAGACTCAGCAGGTTGACACCATGCAGGCGTCCTGCACACAGTCAGCCTCCCAGGAGAGAGGCAGGTGGGAGAGGGCAGGGGGCGCGAGCCGAGCCCACCGGGCTCAATCTATCACGCAGTGACAGGAACCATTAGAGCACAAAGGAGCATCTGTGGAGCCGCAGGTAAAACGAACGGCCTGCCTGGGTTTCCCTCTGCTGCTTCTAAAACACAGAAGCTGTGTTTTAACGCTGGTTGTCATTTGTTCTAGGATGATCCTGCAGGGCGTTTATTATTATTGAACACAAAAATTCATGATATTTACTATTTTATCTGCTCAAATAATGCAAGCTTTTATTGAAGCAAACATAATAGTTTGTTGATTTTTTCAGGGGTTGATTGGTTTCTCAGCCCAAATCTGAGAAAGAGTTTCTGGAAGTTTGTGGTAATATAATATTACAAAATAGCAACAAGTGCAAAAACCTGGTCAATGAATAGGAAACTTGTGTTGAATCAAACTTTTTTTTGTTGTTGTCATTTTAAGGTATAATCGGTCTGTAAAATTTGTCGAGCTAAAAGAAATAAAAAAAGTTGACCATTGCCTCTGCTTACAGATCTTATTTGTCACACAAAATCATCCAGAGGGCCACATACAGCCCCCGGGCCACACTTTGGACAACGCTGATTAACATCCATGAAAAATATGTTGCAGAGAAACTGCAACATCTCACATCTGGAACTCTGTCGGCTCTCAGGCTTTCCAGCGTTCCTGAGGTCTGGCCTCTCTGACACGACCCACTCTGAAACACCTGAGCTCTTCGCCTATGTAAACGCCATCAGCTGCATCCCACAAACACGCACGCACACGAGCGCGCCCTGAGCAGTGACCTTGAACTAACGGGAGAAGTGCGAACAGAAAACAGGAGGTGAGAAAAGATGCAGCCTGACTTCCACTCAGGGCCAGCTGGGTCTCATCCCAGATCTGGGAATTATTTTTCTGCTGTGCACTTTGATGATTCTGGAGTAATATTTGGAGTTTCCATGGAAGCGTTCATAGCACTGAAGGAATGGATGGATGCAAGGGGCTGACATGACATCAACAAGATGAGTCTGCTTCCTCCAGTTTACTGTTTCAGAGCGTTACGTTTCAGCGGAGCGTTTTCAGAAGTTCGCCGCGGTCGTGTTGGAAGCGATGGCCCCTCAGGAGTCCGGCTGATGCTGAATGCTCCAGAAATCACAAACATATTCCCCTCCCAGTTAAAAATGTGACTTCAGTCACAGGAACAGTGGATGCTGAACTCCAGAGAAAAGAGGCGATGCACAGAGCCGAGTTTTCCTGGAGGCGTTTACACTGGACCGCCTGCCGAACAGGAATTGTTTTCCTATCACAGCTCTTACATTCAGGGTCCTTTCCACGAGTTTAACGTTCATTTTACTGGTTAGTAGAGATGCAGAACAGAGCTCTGTATCTGCTAAACACCGTCTGACTGCATTTGTTCCTCAGCTAAATTAGGAGCTCTAATCGACTTTCAGCGTCTTGCATAGAAAACGAGCCTATTAACTAACGCTGTGCAGGAAAGAGCCTCATAAAGAGCCCGTTTTTCCACATTAAGCATGATTATGGCATCAATACGTTACATTTGAACTCCATCAACTCGCTGCCTGAGTTCGTAGCATGTGGCCGTGACGGGGTTAATAAGCTGCAAACTGGAGGGAATCAGATAGTAACGGTCCATCTGAGTAAACAACATAATGACACTCTTCTCCACTTTTCAAGGCATCACATAATGTGGAAAGAGCTAATTAGAAGACATTGTAAAACTACCAAACTGTACAAGCTGCTGGACTCAAACCAAACATAAGACCTGCAGCAGGAGGGAGCTGCTGCTTTTTAAAACTAAACTGAATCTAAGGCATAGTTGTACCGTCGTTGGATCAAGACTGCCAGCCAAACTCTGGAGCTCCGGCGGCAGCATGCTGGAGCCACTCGCCAAACTCTGGAGCAGCATCGCTCCGGCGGCAGCATGCTGGAGCCGCTCTGCTGCTTTTCATTTCTTCTGTTTTTCCAGACGTTTGTTCAGGATTTTCTGGTCGAATTGTTGCTGTTCGGTCAGTTGTTCTCTCTGGTTCTACTGTGAGTTTTGCTCTTGGCTTTTTACTTTCAGACAGTTATTTTAATGCGTAACCATGGCAACAAGGTACACTGATTAGCATCTCAATAACTGAACTTTGACCCCAAATAATAAGAGGAGCTGAAAAGGAGGCTTCATGGATGCAGAGAGAGAGGAGGAAGTTCAACCATCTCTCCATCGTCTCTCTGCCAGATGGAGATTTGAAGAGGAGCAAAAGCAAAAGAGATGGATTAGCAGAGCTGCTAACAGCTGATGGTGTGTTACTGTGAAATATTGTACATAACAACATTGAGATTTTCTAAAGTCAGTGGCTTCATCACTCTGGTTAGGAGAAATCAGAAACATTTCCATCTACAGAGATTTTACAGTTTGGTTGAATCTCTTTAAAGATTCCGTTCACCAAAAAATCAGCATTTCTTCATATTTTAGGACCTAACATTTCCATATAAAGGATAAATCTACTCAAAGGTCTCCAGATGAATCTCGTTGCCTGATGCAAATGTATTTTTTAATCCAACAATTAACCAACTTAGACTCCAGAAGAGCAGCTCCTCTTCATCGACTGCCAGGCCTCACACTAACGGGCAGAAAGCAAAACGCTCTGAATGTGACGGATCATCAGCCGTTTGGTTCAGAAACACTCCTCCATGTCTCTGTGCTTCGCTCACCGGGACAGGAAGTTAGCATGACTGCGTCTGATGGAGGTTTTCTAAATGACAGGCTTCAGGAACCAAACTGCGTCACATTTTAACTTTAGAAATGTTCTGCTTTAACTACTTCCTCTCCTCATAGGAGGAGGAAGATCTCCAAAATAAAAGGAGAACTCACACAGTGTGTCATCTCCCCCTTTATGGACGACAGCTGCAGTGTTTGCAGAACTAATGATCATAATTCATGTTTTGTCTTTGGGCAGAACAAACTGATTTGGTGTCATTTTATTCACCCTTTCATCTGAGATCTGATCTTGGTGAACTTTGTTGATGCTGCAGTCATAACCAATCATCACCGTCTACCATAAATACGACTTTGAAGATATGAACTACTGAGCTTTTAACATTTTAGTTAAATATCTACAAAATTACGCTGAAAGAGTTCAGGAGTTGCAAAACGAGTGAGCAAATATAAAATATAATGAGGAATATTTAGATTAAGAAAGGAAATATTAGATCAAGTTTTAAGAATATTCTATGATAAGATAATTTATTGGCTTTAACAGGAACAAAAAGGTTTATATTAGGTGGATAATAACATCTTTAAATCTTAGCAGGATGGTGTGACGTTTGGACTTTCCACTTATGTATGACCTCTGATTCCATAAAAAGATAAATCCTGCATTTACATTTCAAAATGTGAATATTCATTGATTTCTCCACTGTAGAAAAAAAATATTTTTTAAGAAAACAAAGATTTTAGTACCTAGCATTCCTTTAGTGAACACCTGATCATCTGTAGCAAAGGATGCATCTGCAGCTAAACAAAATACTGTTTACTGATCTGGTGATTGGTTTTGGATTAATAACTGGAAAGTAAAAGGTGCTCATGTTGAGATTTCTTTATCAGAATTTGAATCAGGTGAAGTTAAAACTGACGCTAGGAGAGTTCTGGGTTTACGGAAAATTAAGGTTTTTCATCTTAAATGTAAAATATATAGATTTTTTGTACATTTTTGATTGAATTACTGTCCTGTTGTTTCAGCAAATGATCATTTTTAGAGTTTGTATATTCGTGTAAATGATTAATCAATTGCTATTTTTTATTTTATTTTGATAATCAATTAATCACGATTGTTTTCCTGATACTGTGCAGCTCTGTTCTCAGCAGCGCTCGTTCCCATTGGCTGGTTTAGAGCAGCCTGGGGAGCCATCTTGTTGGATCTGCTATGTTGGGGAAAATATGGACCAACAAACAGGCAGAAAATGGAAAACGCTTCTGACAGGTGCTTATGGAGAAAAGGTCTTCTGAACAGACCGGGCGCTACGGCAACAAGGAGTTTTCATTACATCATTATGATGCTAACTGAGAAAATGTCGTTAATAATCCATCAGGTCTTGTTTTGAGGATTTTATTAAAAAGCAAAGCGGTACAAATGGAACGAGGCGGAGCTCCAGGGCAGACTGTGAAAATATTCATTTTCACAGAATGTTTTATCAGTGTAGAGACACATCACCTGTTAGAGAGAGCGCCACCTATCTCTGCTGGAAGCTTAAAGAACACCAGGTGCCTTTCAGGAACTTCCTGTTTCTGCAAATATTTTATGGCAAATATCAATTTATAAACATCTCAAAAGACACGAGGCCTTTTCATTGATGTCATAAAATACTTTTCCTACAATGTTTTTATTGCCTTTCTTGTCTGTTATTTTTGCATGTTGTGTTATTTGTTTGGATTCTAATTAATCTGATGTAATTAAGGCAACATTTTACATTCATTAATATGATTGCCCCATATCGAAACAGAAACTGAATCTGGATGGACACCGAATCCAGATAAATATCATCACTTTTTGTCCTGCAGATAAAATCCCAAAAAGATGAAGGTGTCATTTTGTCATGCTTTTATTATGAAAAGCTGTTTGTTTGCATGCCAGACATAAAGATATTCCTCTCATATCAGCCACCAGAAGCAAATGAAGAGCTGTAAACCATCAGCGCTGCTCTGCTTGTTCAGATTTGTTTGCTTTTTTTGCAAACACATGAAACCAGCCAGTGATCCCCGAAGGATGCAGCTGTTCACACACTCGGAATAAACCAACGCTGCAAACACACCTCTGTGTGACCCACCTCCCTTCCCTCTGAGGCAGAAGCAAAGAGTTTTACCTTGTAAAGCAGCAGAATGGTCTGTCTCAGTTTGAGTCTGTGGAAGACGCAGACGTCGTATAAAGCCGCCACGGCCAGGACGGTGACTCCCAGCTCCTTCCACAGCATGCTGCAGGCGGCGCAGGCCAGGCTGCTCAGGAGCCACGCTGCCAGCCGCCAGGGCCCGGCGCGGCCCCGCAGCCCGCAGTGACGGACGTAACACAGCAAGGACAGCAGGAAGAACAGGGCGGCGCCTTCGTCGGCCCGCCCCACCACGCCCGCCACCGCCTCAGTGTGGACTGGGTGGGAGGCGAACAGCAGGCCGGCCAGCAGGCTCCACGGCCCGCCGCCCAGCAGGAGGCGGGCCAGAGAGGTGAACAGGACGGTTACGGCACCGTGCAGCACCACGTTGACCGCGTGGTAGCCCCAGGGCTCCAGGCCGCCCACCGCGTAGTTGAGGCGGAAGGACAGGGTGCAGAGGGGCCGGTAGGACTTGTGGCTGCCGCTGTGGGTCAGCAGGGTTCCCCAGAAGTCATCGTAAAAGATGTTGGTCCAGGGCGTCTCCGGAAGCAGGTCCTGATTGGTCTTAATGGCTCGGCTGGGAAGAGAAAACAGAAAAACGTTGATATGTGACTCAAATCAGTAGCTAAATGAGCAAAACATACATATGATCCTCTACATTCTACCAGCAGAAAAGACAATATTTAATTTTTGTTTACAATAACAGTCAGAAAAAGTGATCACATGGCTACACCAAACCAGAAATGAAGCCGCATTCAAACAGCAGGAGGATGAAAATCTGATTTTTTCATTTAGTCTGAATGGAAAAATTCTGATCTTTTCACCACCAAAAAACCCAGTTTGTGTCGCATGGAACCAAATCGTTCCTGATAGTATTCAAAGCATCTGCACTCTGAAGGTCATGTTGCATTTTATCCGACTTTCACGTCGTCGCTGTGAGACGTGCAGCATAATTCTGCTCCAGGAGAAACCAGATGGATGTAAACAATGTTTGAAGATGATAATAATGAAGTAATGAAAACAGTCTGAGTCAGTGAACGCATCACAAACTGGTCCAACAGCATACTTACTCACAAAGAAGTCTGATTCATTTAATCAGAATGAACGAACGGGAAAAAAAATTATTTCAGCAAAACAAATTGGAACTGAGCATCAAGAATCGTCTGGTTACTGGCTAACGTCACATTTTACTGGCCAGCTGGATTTAATGGATGGACCAAATTTAAAACAACTAGTTTGCTCCAACAACCAAAGAGACAAAACTGAATCTGGGATTCATGGATCCAGAGAGGAACCAAAAGCTCCTCTATGTGGCCGTAGCTCACTACGGCCACATAGAGAGATGAAGACTAGCAGTGCTAGCTAACAACTGATAGTGTTACTGAGGAATATTAATCTTCAGACTGTCATACAGAAATGGTCTTCAGTCAGAGGCCTCTTCAGATTTGTTGCAGGACTGACTGTTACTGGATTAGCATCATCATCCACAACAACTCTCTGAAGATACTTCTATGATCCGAGCTGCAACATTTAATTGGGAACATTTACTGTCTCTCTGGGAAATTTAAAGTATCTTTTAGCTGAACTGAATCAAATAAATCTGTATTTTAATTAAAGATCTGAGCAGGACGGTCATCACAGCAGAGCTTTACGAGTTGTTGCCTTTAGCATTGGAGAACGGCTCGAAATCGGCGGTCAGGAAAACACACTACGGGAGGAAAGGAAGAGTTTAGAAAGAGGACGGCTCTGGGAGGCTGTTTGCTCCTGCTGCCAGGATCAGGACCAGCAGGGCAAAGCGGTTGATACGTCCATGTTTAAAGGTATTTAAGGACAACAAATGTGGACGTTGGGTTTCTCCTTGTAGGCAGCAGCATTCACCAAAAGGAACAATTGGACCGGCCCTTTGTGTGGGATGAGCCTGCGTGACCTGACCCAATGCTGCTTCATCAGCCACAAGCTGTGTGTGTGAATGGCTGCTGGGACCGCCAGCAGGGGTCAGGGGTCAGGGAGGGTGTGTGTCTCTCCAGGAGTCCTTACAGAGACAGCGAGGCCTTGTCCAACGTTTCCTGCTCTCTGACAGAGCAGCACGCCCATCATGCTCTCCTTTCAGACAATGATGGTTACAATTTGCTTAATGAGCCCCCCTGTGAGAGAGAAGCTGCAGCAGAAGCCGAGCGGAGGTGTTGTAATTGCAAGTTTGATAAATGACACATGACAAGTGATAACAAACCGAGCGAACAAGGTTGTAATCTCCCTGTGGTAGTCACAATTTACACACGTAATTAGCTCAAGGAGAAATGGGTGGAGAAAAGGTGGAAGTGTGTGTGTGTGTGTGTGTGTGTGTGTGTGTGTGTGGTGGGGGGGGTCTCCTCATGCAATTCATCACATTTTTATTATGTGGGACAAAAATTGAATCAGAGGAAAGAGAAGTGAAGTTAAACACATTTAAAGGTATGAATGCATGAAATAAGACAGCCATGTTTTTAAATTAAATCTACATGAATCGGTTTTTAAAATACGATCCTTTGTCAAGAAGAAAGTTAAATTGATCATTAAACTTCTGTTGTTCTCTACTGCTACATTTTCTGCTATAACTTCTGCAGCAGTGTCTCGCTTGCATTAAAAGGACAGCAGACCAAACATCGGTCATCGGCCCAGTGCAGCTGGCTTCATATTCCAGAGGATTCAGATTGTTAAATACAGCATCAACTAGTGTGAAAGTTTAATGAAATATCCTGATTTCTTACCAGGATAAAAGTGGAAACTCTAAATATGAACAATCTGAATTTTTCCAAATGTGAACAAACATAAATTTTCCTGCACCTGCAGCACGGCGTGTCTGCCCCACCTGCAGCACGCCACCTGACTCTGGCTTTGCTCAGTCAGGATGATGCTGCTACAGACCAGCTGCGTCTCTGAACAACTGGAATGTGGAGGAGAGTCACCAGAAAACTGTGCATAACGTGGGTGAAAAGGTTCTCTGTGCAGCATGTTGTGGAAAAAATTTTATTTCTCGAGCACTAATATCATAGCTCAGGATTATTGGCAAAACTAGAACTACTGCACACCCAGTGGTGGCTACTTCCTTATTGCAGGAGGTCAGATCCATCCATCCCTGCTACCGTTAACGTTGGAGAAGCTAGTGACTAGCATGCTGAGGCTGGTCACCCTCTGGGTTTCCTTCTTCCTATTCTGGCATTTAGCTTAGATATGTTAGCATTAGCCTTGGTAGCCAAAGTGAGTTTTCTTGTTTTTCTTTAACCCAAATTTTAGAAATGAAAATGTTTGAGATGCAATATCTGTAACGACATCCATTGGACGGCATGATGTCCTTTTGACTGAGTTTCCTGTAATCCATCATCACACCAAGCATGAAGTTGGTTTCTGAATCAGCAGACGGCTAAAGTTTTTCCGCTATTGTCTCTCTACTTTACTAATAGTATCTTTAATTTGATCTACTTTAAAAACTTCAACACTTAGAGTGTCAGTCTAAGACTCTTTCAACAAGGACTGGATTGCTCTACCCCAAAAGCAGAATATTTCAAACCTAGTCTGTAAAAACCTAGTCACTAAAATGAACTTTACTGAACTTTCACCAGCAGCAGAAGAAGTCAGCCCAGTGGGTTTTCAGCTTCTCCAAAGTTAATGTGAGTTACTGCTCTCCGTCTCCCCTCCCAGTGTGAACCGCTCAGCTGCCGGCGCCGGCCTATCATTAGTCAGATCAGTAGATTAGGCTTCCTGTGACAAAGAAGTAGCTACTGCTGGGCATGAAATAGTCTTAATTTTAACACCAGGCTTATTAGGAATCTTTAAAGAAAAAAGAGAGCAATAAGTGTCAGCTCTAACTTGGAGTTTAAAACATCTTTTACTCCCAAAGACACAAAGTTTAATATTTATAAGAGAATATATGAGGACAAGCTCCTTCATAAGAAACATATTCAGCTTATCCGATGCTGCAGCTGCAGACCTGATCCGCTCCGGCAGGCGGCCTTCAAAACACAGCAGAAATAAACATTTATCATAAACCGTGTGTGTGGCCAATGCAGAAGGTCATTTGACTTCAGAAACCAAAGTTCAACACAGTCATAAAGACTTTAGCACCATCACTTTTCTATAACGAGCATCACCATGACAGCTTGAAAACAACAGTCTTATGACGCTCAGTCTAAGATTTTGGAAAGCAGTAAAAATCTTGAACCTGCAAACCTTTAAACTGCAGCACTTTGTTGTATTCAAAATGATTTTTTATTAAATTTATGGGTGATGTTTGGTTACAGACCCATTTCAAAATGCAGGCATGGAGAACACCCAGTGACGTCTTCCTTCGGTCATAATGAAAGTGAAATCCCTCTTAGTCTGTTGGGATGCTGCAGAGATCTCCAACCATAGATTGCAGCATTCATCAAATCATAAAATGTGGTGAAATAGTAGAAATTGTAGCTCTCAAATGTTAGTAGCCAGCAGGAAGCCTGGAAGAGCGCTGCAACAATCAGCAGGGAGATGGGAGCAAACTGCTGAGCTCCTCAGCACACAGCCAATCGGGTTTCTGCATTTTCTCTGGTCTCAATGATGGAGGTGGTGCAGCTCAGCTCTCTACTCCATCCTCAGACATGCCTTTCATTTTCTTCAGTCTATTTGTCAAGTGAGGTCTTTATTCCAGCCCAGGAGGTTCATATGAGGCTCTAATGGTTCCATGACATGTCAAAGCTTTTCTGGATTCAGCTTGGCTTGGTGCTGCCGAGCCACTGCAGCTAGATGCATTAATGCTGCTGAAAAACCACACCGGATTCTTCTGGCAGCCAAGCTGAACACATCGGCAGAGTGAGGCTGTCAGAAGCCAGCAGCTCTTACATCCTGGCATGATGAGCTGCCAAGCACACGTTTCACTGCTCGGACTTTCTTCTGCTCATGTGTCGCAGATCCAAGCAGCACCTGACAGGCTCACAGCCGAGTAACGGAGAATAAAGACGGGCTTTTTAAACTCACTCAGCAGATAAATGAGAATCGTTTGCATTATAACCTACAGCAGGGATTTCAGGCAGCTCCCTGAACATATGGCTAATCCAGTGCTGGGTCCGTCTAATCCGTTTATAGCAGAGCTAATTAATAAAGAAATCATGTTTTAAATTCTAAAGCACTAATGTACTTGACTGTTTTGTAAACTTTCAGGTAAGTAAAGTGACATTTGGGTAGAAGTTTTGGTTTGGGAATTCGTGAAGTAGATGTTTATATCCATGCTCTTATTTTGACGGGGTGAAGACTGTTTGTCCAGCAGCTCCAAACAAACATGAGATGTACAGATTCATTAATCACTAACATGAGAACTGATGTTTATGATTAGTGCTTTAGGGTGAGCATAGCTAATTTTGGTGTCCACCATTGGGCAAATCATTAATCCATGTGGATGTTCATCACCATCACCATCATCACCATCATCCCCTGATCCTGTACCAGAATGGAGGCCATCTGGAGAGCAAGGCCAGCTCTGGGCTGCTGGCTCGGATCAGGCTCTAAGCAGAAATGGCAGCAGGAAGGACCTCTGTGTGGACTGCGAGTGTTTTCCAGCCGGGAGCACAT